AAAGTGAATGATAATGATTCTATAGATTATCATTATGAATTATATGGAGTAGATAATCATTTTGGTGGTTTAGGAGGTGGACATTATACTGCCTGTGCATATAATTCATTAATAAACAAATGGGTAGATTATAATGATTCAAGTGCAAGAATTACATCAACAGATGTTGAAAGTGAGGCTGCTTATGTATTATTTTATAGAAGAATAGACTCTCAAAAATGTAGTTTAGGAAAATGATTAATTATATGGGTTATGTATAATATATGATTCAATCTTATTTTTCTTTATATCTTATGATTTTCCTTAAAACCCAAGTTAATATGAACACAATAACAAATGCCATAATACTAACCAAGTTTAAGTAAAATTCTGAAAATACATAATACCAATTTCCTATGTATGGAACAAATGGATCATGATCTGGTCTACAAAGCATAAAATTTAAATTAGCCCAAGTCATCAATGATATTGGTAACATATAAATCTAAACTTAAATATATTCCTTACTCTTTAATAAAGAACATGAGACTCCCATCCAAACATCTAATGTATAAAGAATGTCTTCCATTCAAAAAAGAAAAACCTTCCACTTAATGTCAATACTAAAGGACCTGCAAAAGCCCCAAGAAGATGCTCTATCCAAAAGAATTCTACTTCTAAAGGCAATTCTAAGCCTGTTATAACTGGAAATTTTAATGCCTTTAATTAAAAGAACAATTCAATACTGCAAATACTCCATATAACCATCTTAATTGACAAATAAAAACGATAGCACTAAATTTATGTTTTTTTGTCAATAAGACATATCCTTACATCAATAACACTATATGACATGGATTATTCATAAACACACCTATGTAATTGTCTTATTCTCACATTTACCCCTTCCTGTATACAATTTATATCCAGTTTGAACAGCAAAGGTACCCCAACATGCTAATCCAACTAAATATTCAAAAATATTAGGTTTCTTTCCTATTGCTCTTGTCAATTCCTACGAATATTTTATTTTAGCCCAGCATTTTTCTTCATCTGATCAAATTAATACTCATCACAATAATGCAAATTATGGCAGAAATTGTAGAAATGGAAATACGAAATGTATTTGTCATATCTTAATAACATTTTGGTCCACCATCTGAAAAGTGTTCATAAGTTTCTGTGTAGATATTTCCATACAGTCCCCAACGTACAATATCCATTAATTAAAATTCTATGACTGATTAAACAAGTGTTAATTAATAATAGTTAATCACAGATAAAGATATAGTATTAGAGTCAATAAAGTAATTAAATTATTTGACTCCTTCATGGTGTTCAAAAATCAAAAATATTATTAAAGAACAATTCTCAGTTTAAATTTATATATCTTTAGACCTTGATATTATTTATGCAAAATTTGGAAATTTAGACAGAATACATTCAATATAAAAGATTTATGTAGATTATATTGCAATTATTAAAAGTTGAAAATTGAAGGAATTTTAGAAATTTTATTGTTTTGTAATGTAATGAGAAAATTTGTTATGATCTTTAAGATCAAAAGATTAAAAACTAATCAGTTTGATAATAAATGAAGAATAAATAATAATAGATAGTAATAAAATCATCATAAATTCAAAATAAAAAAAAATATTTTTTTTAATTTAAGAACTAAAATATATATCATATAAAACATGTTGATTTATTTAAAGCAGTATGAAAAAAATTAGATGGATAATAAAAAATAGAACTTAAATAACTATAGTAACATATTTCATTTTTAAATGGATTTTATTTCTTTATTATTTTGGTTTTTCTCCTGACTGAAAATATGAAATTATTTTTAGATAACGCGAGTTTAAGCTATTTATGAATATCATGAGAAATCATAGATTTTAAACCAAGAACAGTCTATTTACAAAAGCTGATAGAGGTTCTAAATAAATCAAGGAATTCCTGTTAACCAGAATTGAATCTGAATAAATTTTAGTATTTATTCCTCAATAAAAGAATGGAATAAATTAGGATTACATAAATGATTAATTATCAATAAAAATGATAATAATTCAACCATATATCTTTTATCATTCAATCCACATATATGATGTAATCATTATATAACATAAAAGTATGCATATAAAATTGAACTCATTATCCATTTAATTATCTTAAATTCAAAAATGATTTCTTAAAACCCCCTATTTGAAAGATAGATATGTTGATTTTTGAAAATATCTAAAATAAATGGATCCTATTTTAGATAAATAATCTAAATTAAGGTTAAGAAAAATATCACATAGAAATAGGAAATACTTAGATGGATTTAAATTGTTAATGTTTTTTAGATTAGTTAATCCTACATTCAATTTTGAATTATCAGCTAAGACAACAATAAATGACTTAACTGCTATTCAATGTAATTTAGTATATTAATTATTGGATAAATTCATCAGAAAAGTATACATAGTTTTGGAAGACTCTCTCAACAGGTTTAGTTAGTAAATATATTGTAATAAATAATTAAATCATTGAGAAAAGGAGCAATAGATCCACTTGCTTTTGGTTAGGTAGTTTCTTAAATCATCAAAAATATTTACTACTTTAAAAATTAAAGGTTATTAATATGCAATGGAAAACCTTTAGAGAAAGATGCTTAGTCTTGGTATGAGCTTGTGCAGTCTAAAAAGTTAGAGTAAGAATATATGAATAAATCAGAGATATTTATTCAGAAAGTGTTTATTTGTAGTGGAATATTTCCTAAAGGATGTAGATGAGTAGATATGATATTTATAAATCAGATTATTTGCTCTTTCAGTTGCCCAATTTGATGTCACTACTGGAAGTTAAACTAATGTTAATAGAATTTTTAAATGTTAAAAGTTATTCTGTTTATAGAGTATCATTTTTTATGTTTTTCATTTTAGTATGAAAAGAGAAATATCTAATTTATAGAATTGAGAATATTTATGAAAGTGAAGTTACATGTGATCAGATGATATAAATTAAAGAAATGTATAACTATAAAGTTAAAATGCATGAAATTTTGATATATATTATATATATTTTCATTTTATTAAAAACAATTGATATATAATAATTTTTTATATAATACATTCTATGAATCCATTGGCCACATTGAAATTTGTTAATATTGAAAACAATGATTTGTAAAGTCATTTTCCAATTGATCCAAATGCTGATATTATTTTAGTTTTGAATGGCAAAGAAACTTTTTAATTGTAGATCAGGTTACTTAAAAAAAGAAGCCAATATTTCGAAACATAATTGCATAATAGTGATTCAAAATTTAAAGTTATACCTGGAAAACATGATGCAGTAGTTTTTTAAAAAATACTCAACTGTTTTTATGGTTACCAGTATCACATTTATAAAGATGAAGAATTTTACTCTGCTTATAAAATCTCTCACTTTCTATAAATTAATAATTTTATCACTACTCTTTAGGATTCATTATATGAAAATTTCTAAAGAATAGATATTCATATTGTATTAACACTTGCTGAATTATATGAGATTGAATCACTTAGAGAAAAATATATTGATTACTTAGATGAAAATCCATAATTATGGAAAATTATATTGCCTATTCAAAAATTAGAATTTTATAGATAAAATTATTACTCTATTTGTTGCACTAAATAAAATGATGATATCCCTATTAATGTTTTACATTTAAAAGAAGACATATTAATCAAACTTCTATCATTCCATAATGAATAAAAAAATAAGAAATCATTTCCTGAAAAGTTTTTAACTCCAGATGATATTCTGAAAATTATACAGTATTATGTAAATATTAGATTTCAAACTTAAGAAGAAAGATAAGAAAATACAATAAAAATTGTCAACTCTATATATAAAGTAGAAGACATCTATTCAGACAATGATGCTAGAAGATTGTAAACATTCATGTCCAAATCATATTCTAATAGTGTTAATTCATGTAATAATTTTTATTATAAAGCTTCTTGTTCTGATAGGTCTTCCAAACTTATTATCGAATAACAGAGAGATATTGAAGAACTTAAAATGAAATTATAAGTACTAATTTACTATTCTATACTTTAAGTGTACAATTAAAGAGAATAATGAACTATAATTAAAATCTAAGATGCTTGAAGAAAGAATTGAAAACCTGCAATAATTAATTGAAAATCAAAAGAAAACTTCAATTAATACTAGCAATTTGAATAATTCGAATACTTAAGATATAGAGTCCTCTTAATTTGTATACCATTAAGTTGCTGAATCAATACCATTAGATAATTCATCAATTGATTAAAGTGACAACTCATTTTTTAAAAGTCAATTACATTTTAATAGCACACCATAAACTGTTTTTACTCTTTCAGAACTCTCTTATCTTGGAGAAATTTTGAATGCCAAAATTTATTAATAAATTAAATTTAAATTATTGTATCGAGGGTATATCTTAATGTTTTTATTAGAACTGAAAATAATTTTTATCTTGTATCTGAAGAATAATTAACTTCAATTAAAAAAGCCACATCAATTTTAATTCTTATTAGATCAGTAGATAATGATTCAGTTTTTGGAATATTTAATTAAAATAGTCGAATATAAATTATTAATTTTTAGAGTAAGAAAAGAGTAGATTATAAAAAAGAGTTAAAATTAGCTATAAATTCTAATTATTTATTAAAATTAGGTAATGATATTGAGATATTTGTTGATTGTTGTAATAAAAAAAATAATATCTGCAATAATATAAATGGATTAGGTTGTTTAGCTGGTAAAACTGAATTTCAAGTAGATGAGCTTGAGATTTATGAGTGCTCTATCCATAATGAAATTGTGTGATAGACTTTATTTATTTATATCTGAAATTATTAAATATCTCTTAATTCTTTTTTTGATATGTTGTTATTGAAACTTAGTAAAAATAATACATTTTATTAATAATAATAATTATTATAGATATAGTTATTAATAAAATAATTAATATAAATATTAAATAAAAATAGGATTTTTAATTCTCAAATCAATTAAATATTCCAATTATCAATAAAATTAACTTTTTCTTAATCTTCCTTATAATCTATGTCACTAAAAATACTAAATCTTAAACTACATTTTTATTTTCTCAAATTTTAAATTAATCATTTATGTTATTAATATTTTTTTAAGGCTTAATCTTGGAGGCTTATATTACTTAGCTTATAATCTAATCCAATCTATTTCAGAAAAAAACAAATGTTTCTTAATTTTGTGTAAATTAATTTAGGTCATTCTTTGTTATCGAGACTTTATAAGCAATAATTTTAAAAGATCTGTAGCAATAGCACTAACGTCTTTGGGAATTAATAATTGTTTTATAATTTGAAAATTATTTTATTTACAATATTTGATATTTTCAATTAAAGTTTTAATATTTGTACTAAAATATGGAGGATAACCTGTAAGCATTTCAAATAAAATAATTCCTATTTAGTAAATATCAGTTGCTTTAGATGATCCAATACCATCAATCAATTCAGGTGGAAGATAAGTTGGAGATCCACAAAAACTTTTTTGTTATTATTTCTAAATCTGCATTTAATTATTTGCATAATTCAAAATCTGTAAGTTTGATATATCCATTTGAATCTATTAAAATATTTTCAGTTGAATAAGAATTTTTTAATAAATATAATTTTTGATTGCATACCTCTATTGATGTAACATTCTATATTTCAGATTATAAATCATCAACTGTACCTTATGAAGGTACTTTATTCGTGCATCCCCAATTATTATAATATTTCAACTTAATTTTCATTTTAATTAAATTATATGTTAAAATGGAATAAATTAATTTATTAATATTCAAAAAGAAATATCATTAAGAATATCTACTTAAAAATAAAAATGAAATTTTTTTATAGTCAAACTATACAATTAATTGGTCATTTAACAATTTCATTATATAATTTTATTTATTAAATCTTGAATTTGATATAGTAGATTCATATACTATTTTATGAGATTAATGGAAGTCTTTTTTGTAAAATAAGTTATCTCATATTATATAGCTATCAAATTCAACTTTAGTATAAAGAAAAATTTTAAAGCAGAAAAGTAGGACTATTAGTAAAAAAAATAAAATAAAGATTATTCATTTTATAATAATTCAACTTTATTCTCATGTAATAAAATATTAGCTCTTATTAATTTTCTTGTTAAAATATAGAAGCTAAATTATAATTTATAACATTAAATATTCAGTATTTTGTTTATTTTGAAATGCAAATACAACATAAATCAATATTCCATTAATTCTCTTTACTCAGTTGTCAAATGTTCTAATTTTTCTTATTTCATCTTTTATTTTTTGATAGTCTATAATTATTATTCAAAACTCTCATCCAATTAAACTTCTATATGACTGGGAGCTTAGAAAGACTAATTTAATATAGATCCTCTCTATTATTAATTAATTTTAATTTACTTCAATATCTTCCTTCACTTATATATCATCTAAATTTATAATTCCATTTTAATTATTCTAATTAGATAGATTTTCTTTAAATTATTTCTTAATTTTCTCAAAATCAATTGGACTTATTGAAGTGCATTTTGATAATATTTCTTGAATTTCTGTGTTAATATTATTTTTTTATAACAAACTTGATAAATCCTAGCTTATAATAACATTTAAAATTACTATGCACCAAATCCTTTTTTCTTATATGTTTAAAACTATGCTCCAAGAATTAAATATAAAAGTTCATTATATTCTTTAGAAACTTCTTCATCCATAAAGGATATTAGTTTAATTATCATGCATAATCTTAATTCTTTGTCTTTATATTAATCAAAATTAACTTTTCTATTAGACTTAGCTAATTTATTGTTTCCTTATTTAATAAAAGAATCATCTATTAAATAAGCAATTATAGAAACTATTTGTTAATTTGTTAATCTTCCTGGGATGAAATCAAAAAATTAATTTATTAATGTTTTTATGTCTGTTGGTTGATCATAACTAAGTAAAACAGAGTTTGATAAAAAAAATGCACTTAATCCAATAATATTTGAATTAGGTATAAGATATGAATTAATTTCATTATTTTCATTAGAGTTAATTCTTCCTGCTAATAAAAATAAAGATGTTAAAATTTAAGCACATTTTAATGAAATTTAATGATTAAATTCAGCTATTTCAATCAACATGACTATCATTTCTTCAGTTATTATGATTGTTGAATTAAAAGTCTCTATTTTTAACATACATTCATGTAAAATGTTCAATAAATTAATTAAAATATCAATATTAATGGCTGTATTATTTATTAAATTTAAATTGTAATTATATGTGAATGTGAGTATTTATTGTATAAATGACTGAACACTATTAGTATCTGATGATATTTATTTGAGTAATGCAATTAAGCAAAGTTATGTATCATTGAAGGTTTCTGATTCTGGATTAGATCTTAAATTATTAAGTACAGCTTTTATAGTTTAGGTTTGCTAAAATAAAATAAATTAATTTGTCTCAATTGAATTAAATAGACTAATTAATAATTTAATAATTGAGTTTTTCACATTTGAAGTCACATGAAAATTTTTATATTCTGAGGTTTTTTTTAACAAAGGTGGGGCACTTGGACTTTCAAATGGATTCTTATCATTAGGAGTATCTAAATAATCTACTAATTTTGTAAATATAAAAAGCTCAGTATTAGATAATTAATTAATCTCTTTAGCTACTTCTAAAACAATATAAGTAATATCAAAGATATCTAATGGATTTTTCCAATAATCTTCATCAAAATTATTGAATAACATTTAAAATAATTCTTCATATAACTATTAATTTAAAGCTCTTTCTAGAAAGGTTTCTGTTAATTTATGCCATATAGGTTAAGAAGCAAACTTTTTATGATCTTTCATCAAAATATTAAATAGAGCTTTTTAACTTTTTGTTACAAATAATCTTTCTTATGGAATTCTTAAAAAAGCATTCCTATATACAGACATAACAACAAATGGATCTGAAATAATATCTAATAATTCTTAAACTGCTGACATTTCTTCATTTGTTTTAGTTACCCATTCACTAATATAATTTTATTATTTACAATTAATCTGAATAACCCAATTTAGTTCCTATTATATATTCTAAAAATGTTAAAATGCATTGGATATTTTCACTTTGGAATTATTTATTTGCTTTTTTATTTGAAAATTATTCTAAGGTTTCTAAAAACTAATTCCACCAAACCCTAAAGAAATTATATTTTTCTTACATTGCATATGTCATTTTATCATTAATCAACTATGAGATTATATTAGAAAATGCTAATTCAAATTTTAAAAAGTTATCTGATACTTATGTTAAGGTTTATAAATGTTCTATTTATATAGACCTCTGACTAATTTCAATTTTAGATTCCTCAAGAAATTAATTCTAAACTGGAATTTCTTTCAACTATATAAACTTGTCTAAATTTAGTATAAGCTCTTATAATATATGCATACACATCTTTATTATTATAGGATTTTAAGACAGTTTCTAATTAATTGTTTGTTATTTTTACTATTTTACTTTCTACATATAATGCAGAATCAATCAGTCTAATTTTATAAGATTCTATGTGATCTATCAGTGTTTTTACTTCTAATTTAAACTAAGATGATATCTTTGCCCAGTCGAACTCATTAAAATATTTCATTATTTCAGATTTCTTGTTGAACTCTTTTAAAGATTCCTCTCTTGGTACTAATTCAAAGATTTCCGTCAGAATAGCAGAGAATGTTGGCTATTAAAGGTTTCTAGACGTACTTCCTATACAGCCCATATTATGAATATATAAATATTATATTTATGATAATCGGTTATTTTATAATAACTCAAACAATTCATATCTATAAATTATCCATAAATTATTTAATAAATCCTATTAAATTAGTATTGTTTAGTATAGTATTTAAAAAAAAAGGGGAAAATATAATTCAATATTTTTTATTATTATAATTTTAAATAACTAGATTATAGCTCGTTTGATATATGATCTGATATAAATTTCAAACTTATTAGAGGAATAATTTATTACATTAATCAACCAGTATTTTATATTCTATTTCAAAATCTAAGATCAAAAATACATTTAAAATTTCTGAAAAGCTTCCTTTATTAAAATTAATCAATACTTAATAATAAAAAAGCCATCCTTTAAATTACAGAAGATTTAACTTTTCAAAAATTATAGATCTTAACTTAAATCACATAATCATATATACATTAATCAATAATAAATTTTAATTTAAAGTTGTTTCAGAGCATTATAAAATTAAGAAAATAAAAAAATAAATTTCTTTTTCATTAGAAATTCATAAAATTACTATACCATATTACTTGAGTTCTTATATCAATACAAATTATTATATATTTCCTAAATTTTGGGTGAGATTAAATATAAATTATATTATGAAACCATAAATTTGTTTATTAGGTGTTCAGAAGTTTGCTAAAGATAAATAGGTTCTCAAATAATTATAAGAATAATTAGGAGATTAATTTATTAACCCAACTGAAATCATTAAGCCTAAAATGAAACCATTTTGCTTTTTGTAATTTATTGATGAAGATTAAAAAAATGTAATTGTCTAAAAATATAGTAAAGAAATTTGTTAAATTGATTGAAGATAATCCTGAATTGAAACTTAGGTTAGGTGAGGTTCATAATGAAAATGCATTTGAAAAATAATTAGATAAGAAAATAAAATAATAAAAATAAAATGAAGAAGAAATAAAATAATTTTAAGAAAAACATTAAAATAGAGAAATTGTTGAAAGAAAAGAAAATGAATTAGCATTATAAACTGCTCCACTTTATTAGATTAAATATGAAGAATAAATTGAACAAAAATTGGTAGAACTTAAAAAAGTAATTAAAAAATTAAAAAATTAATTTATTTAAAAGAATGGTAAAGAATATTCCCCAGATTGGATTTTAGAGTAATTATTCATTCAATATAAGTACAAATTTAATTAAAATTAATGATCCTGTAATATGTGATGAATAATTTAGATTTAATTATAGAAATAAAAGTGAATTTACTATTAGCTACAATAGTTAAAAAGAAGTGTGTGTTGGTTTTAATGTTGGTTCAATTCAAAAAAATAATGATAGTGTAGAATAAGTAATAAATTATTAATATAAAAGCCCAATACATGTCCAGTTACACCTGCTATAGCGATGGAAATAGCAAATAAATTTTAGAATTACTTATAATCATCTAAGTTTTAACCTTTTAATAGATAAAATGGAAGTGGAGTATGGAGAATGTTAAGTGTTAGAAAAAGTGATAGGACTAAATAATTATTAATAAGTGTAAGTATCAATAAGAACAATTTAAATGAAGATGAATATATTTTAATATGTGATGAATTAATTACATTATTTAAGACTACTTATGGAGACTTCAGTTTAGAAGGATTATTATTGATGCATTCGAATAAATTGGGTTAGGATTTAGCTAGTTCAGCTGATGATACAAAAATATTATATGGAAATTCATATTATTAAGAAATCATTTTAGACAAAAAAATAAATATATCATATAATGCTTTTTCTTAAAATCATACACCTTAATGTGATAAATTATATTAAGTAATTATTGATCTTTGTAAAAACAAAAAAATTACAAAATTTTTAGATTTATGTGCTGGTAGTGGT